GGGGGGGGGGCGATCGTCCCCTGTGGCCTGAAAGGTAGGCAATTTGCGCCACCAAACCCTGAATGTAGGCAACCGACAGTGCATCGCCCCTCCCTTCCCCTCCCCCTGTTCCTGTCAGCCGGAGGCGCTGCCCGGGGGCGTGGCCGGGGTGTGGCTGTCGGAAGGGTACACAATCTACCCTTGCGGATGCACTTCTCGCGCCGCGGATCCCCGGTCACGACGTGACGGCGTGTCTGTGAGGCCGCGGGGGGGTCATCACGTAGGCACCGTAGACACCAGCGGCGGCGGAGGGTGGCGCCGCAGACGAGCGACTCACGGGTCAGGGTACGGGTACAGTGCGCAGCGCGGAGCCCTGTATTCCTCTCCTCACCCGACCGTGCTCACGTGGCTGGTGTCGGGCGCCTGCACGTGTCCCGGGCCTGACAAAGTACGCCAGGCTGCCCGGGTCGGGTTGCTGCGCGCCCTCCGCGCGGGTGCCGTTCGGACGCGCCCAGCTCGGGAGCCAGCTCATGTCAGGGACCCGCCATTCCTGACGCGGTCCCCGATCAGAGATCCTATCGGTTCGCTCGCATCCGCCCGGGCGCCGCTTGAGCTGGGCCGGACACGCGAGGCGCCGCGGCGCTGTGAGGTCCCGGGTCGGGTGCCGGGCCCGCACGCGGCCGGGGGCCCGGGCCATGCAGGGCAAAGGGAACCGTCAACCTCGCCGGGAGGGGGAGGGAGCGAGAGAGCCAGCGGGTAGATGGCATATTCAAATCATATGGTGCTTTTCGTCAATGTCACCCCGAATGTATCCCTGGGCGAGTAAATATTAAACGCTGCTCCCGCCCGATGCTCAGTCGCACTGAGCGTCCCAAATGCATTTCCGATCATGGTAATGATGAGCTTAAGAAGGTGGTCGGTCATGTTCAAAAGGGGGGCCGGAGCAGGCCAGACACCCCCACACCGCCCCTCTCCTCCTGACCCTTAACTCCTTGTCTACGACGCGATTCCCACGTCCACCTAGATCCTAATCTAATTCCGAAACACGAATATCTAAGAGGTAGCCCGATTTACGTAAGAAGAAGCAACGTTTGTTGTCAAACACTGGAGGGGAACAGAGGGAGGGAGAAGAGCTTATAAGTGTACGGACTAAAATTGCACAAAGTCTTCGGCGCGGCTTTCCCAACAGATTTCTTGACTGAACCACCAGTCTTAGGGTTTTGCAAAAGCACAGAGATGGTGTTAAGTCCTCCGGAGACGTGCACTGTGCACTGCGTGCAGTGGCTCCACGACGAGTTTTGGCAGGAAAGGTTATCCCCGGCGACGTACCGGCTGTTGGGCTGTGGTGCGCGGCTGGCTGTGAGGACGGCGTTGACGCGGTGAGGCGCACGACGGTGGCCGTTCTGGTGACCCGCGAAGCGACCGTCGGGGGATACACCCCGAGGAGCGGTGGGGCGCCTTCTTATACCGTCGCGTCGACACAGCCGCGACCAGGGCGGGACCCCGGATCCCCCTCCCCCCCTGAGTGGACGGGGTAATGCGAATGGCCTAAGTGACCCCACCC